TGTTGTGGAATTTCCGTTTTGTAGGCAAATTAATAAATACTTTCAAAACGAATCCCTGTTCATCTTTTTTACCAAGGCTTCTTCTTTTCCATGGGTATCCATGCAGACACTGACGCATCGCGAGCACACAAATGTCAGGACAAGGCTCAAAAGAAGCTGTAATACTATTGGAACAAGAAGAATTTAATTCTCCCAGTGAAGGCAATATCAGGGGTTATTACTAATATGGGAATTCCACTTCCACAATATAACAACGTCAATTCCATTTGCCTGTCAGCAGTAAATGCGTCCTATGTAGTCGTTGCGTTCTGGTTTGTCGTGATCTTGAGGAATATAGATAGATAGATTTATTATTTCTGCAAGTAGGTATAGAACCTGGTGGCAGAACACTACATTTTACATATTACAACTAAGAATAGTAATACACTGTAATTTTAAAGCATTTTAAGGCTATAATAACAATATAACAATAAAAACTAACAGCATTACCTATACACTTTATGACTGCCATGCACGGAATTTTTAACTAATAAATACACTGCACTTCACTTCACAATATGTTGATACAATTAGTTACATTTGCGAATAAGCCAGTATATCACATGTAATACGTTACATTAACTTTAAGTGTTAATTGATACGCGGTTTACTTTAGATATTTATAGCTTAGTATTCTTATTTACTTCAAATATTATTAAAAAACGTAAATGTATTTAAAATAATTCACTGACAGAATAATACGTGGATAAGCTATTGATCCTGAGTTACGTTTTCTAAGTTAATTGGAAGTACGCGTATTATTTTGTACATATGTGAATTTGTGTATTTTAAATTTGTGTATATTATTTTTTATATTCCTTTGTACTGCATACTTTCTGTATGCCGCAATTTTAGCTATTAATACTGAGAGAGATGGCTCAGGGCACAGATGTCACTGCAGTCCCTCTGACCGGGAGGTCCTAGGTTCGATTCCCAACGAGGGGAGGAGTTTCGACGCTAATTGTCAGCTCGGTCGAATTCAGTTGCTGTCTGGAGTCGAATTCTAGCGGCCAGCTGCTCTGATTGGTAGTTTTCCGTGGTTTTTCAGATCAATACCAGGCGAATGCTGGAACAGTTCCCTATCAAACAGACCACAGACTGTGCGCGATTTCATCTTCATCTTCTTTGTCCTATCCCTTATACACACACTTACACAAAATGCATTACACTACACAACATGCCGGGAGATCCGTCAGGAGCTAGGAGCTGGTCCTGGTTGGGGCGGTGACCTGTGTGACGTCATGGATACTCAAAGCGACCACAGACACAGAGCTTCCATATAACAAATATATTTATTAACAAGAAAACAAAACAAATATATACACTTAATAATCTACTTACACCCTAGCTCTGATAGACCTACTATCCCCTGATCACGGGAGCGATCCTAACCCGATTGAAGATGGTTTTGATTGTGGCATTCGTCACTCCTACTTTTGAAGCGCGCAGAAAGCCTAGCTTCCGTGACCGGATGTCACGCTGGGACACAAAGTCCGTTCTGGCGCACCAACGGCTGGTTTGCCTCGATCGCAGGAGCGATCTTATCCGATTGAGAATCGGCGTGAATCGTGGCACTCAACCACTCTTCACCTCGGAGCACGCACACAGCATCGCTCCCCCGTGACCGCAGTCACCCAAGGACATAAAGTCCGCAGGCTTCGTCAAATCGTGACTCGAGCCTCGCGAGCCTGGCTCGCATATGCACCGTCGTGGCGCCAAGTTTTGTGCACACGCACGAGGTTCTCCCACTGTCTCCAGAACCCACCCACTGGCTCTGTACACGCTGTTATATAGGCGAGGCCCACGTGACCTACTACGTCATGCCACCCCCTCGCTTGTTATAACAGTGAAAAGTTTCTATAAGCCGGAAGACGACAAACCTTGTGTCTCCCGTTTCCGCGTTCTTCCCTTTACGGAAAAACCCTTCTTCCTGTGGCGAGGCTAATCCTCTTCCAAGCGTCCGCAAATAGATGCCATGAGGCACGCTGGCTAATACGTTACACCTGCTGGTGGGGGTTGGGGAAAGCCCCGCTAGCCGACAGTAGGTCGACGCCAAATCTCGCCATACAGCTGGGGAATGCTCACCGCCACCTCTCGAGTAAAAAGGATGCATTTCACTTACAGAACAAATGACCCTGGTAGATGACGTGCCTGGAATCACTAAACAACCAATCAATCAATTTAGCCATTAAGATTTTCGGCATAACCATTAATTACTTTTCTCATCATTATCCATGGTCCTTCCATATAATACTTAAAACGTGTCTTTAAATTTGCCAGTTCTTCATCCAGTGAATTTTCACAAAGCTTGTTGTCCTTGTCAAACAGAAACCTCACAGTTCTGATGGTTCCTCCGTTGAGTTAATAAGCATTTATTCCATGCAATGTCACAAACAAATGAAGTTACAGTAGAGTCAACTAGAGCTCACGCAGAGAAATTATTCGAGAGAAATTCTGGAGCATCCTAACAGCACATACTATGAGCGGCCGCCATGATGTTGAGACCCATTTTGCCCTTGTAATTACGATTTTATTAAGGACCTAATATCGCGAATAGAACGGCTCACTATTTAGTTAAACATTATTTATTCATGTTCACGGATACTGTCCGTTGAAAGTAACAAATATTTTTTAGAAAGGAATTATAATTGTTTACCTGCAATACTTTTACAAAATCACGGTCTTTCCTTCTTAGAGACTATTTTAAATTCATATAAGTATTCACGCAACGTATTTTTCGAGATAATTATACAGTAACACTAGACTAATTACCTATAGTTATATTCTGGAATTAGGCTGGTCTTAATGAAGTTAGAATTTCTCCGCAGCCAATCTAATTACATACGATCGTATCCACTTTTAGATATAATACTCCGATCACTCAAAACGTCAAGCTAGAATTATCCCGTGTTTTTTGCTTTTGGGGAAAACGCAAAAATATCAATTGCAAGAAGGTCACATCCCGCAGTGATCGGGTTTTCGCCCGCACTTTGCTTCTTTTTGGCAAACGCAATGTGGCAATCAGTTCCCGATGCGAACAAATATTTCTACAACAGCTGTTCGCTCTGTTGGCCGTTTTTCAACGTATGATTTATTTTCTCGCGTGTTTTGCAACGTATTGGAATATGTGTCGGCAACGAAACTCCACAGAGTTTATCACGAACACAAAAGGACGATGAAAAAAGCAATATTGTAAATACTGTTTTCCTTCTGTTTTTCGGCATGATGCCAAAAGAGAAAAAATTCAGTGACCGATCGCGGTGTACTTATGATTTGGGTGTATTGCAGGAGGAAGAAAGTGTAATCAGTCACCAATGTTTTTGGTTCACTAAGAACAAATTCAAAAATTTCAGTAATTTTGGAGTGAGGCTACGAGGTTTTGGCCCGACAACAGATTGTGGTGAATAAAACATCGATATATATCCTACACGAAGGCATACATTCAGTAACGTCAATCATACCAGCAGCCGTCAGACAACAAAGCAAGTGGAAGGGACTTTTTTTTTGCTCACGTTTTGAATATCCTACCTCTTCCCATCTCATCTCCTTCGTCTCCACCATTCCTCCCCACATCTACCCTGTCCCTTTCTTCCCCTTCATCTCTACATATCATTCTTTTTCTCTCTTCTTCTTCCTCTCCCAGTCATCCAACTCCTTTCTTATTCTTCTTACTCACCACATCTATAAATTCGTCTGTCTATCTTCTCCTATCTTCCCTCTCGTACTTTACCTCTTCTTTGGCTCTTACTACTCTGGTTACCCTTCTCATTCCTTAGTCCATTATTTTTTCTCTCACCCTCTCTATCTCCCATATTTTTCTGTTACCTCATTTCTTTCTCACCTTTTCTCTAACCGCTCCTTTATTCCCTTTTTCTCCCTCCACATCATTTCTAGTCCCATTACCATCTCCCTTTCAGTCTCATTAGAAAGCATTCGTTTATTTTCTCGGAAGTGTATTCCTACACCACCTGCGCACATTGCCGGTAGTGCATGTTCCATTTCTGAGTGCCGTGGGATGCGACAAACGCACATCGTTCTATTGCAGGAATCCTGAGTGCCAGCAAGATCGCTTGGGAATAAATGCAACGGCTTGGGAACGGCAAGATGACTTGGGAACGAAACGCAAAGTAGTGAAAGAGGGTGGTACGGAATGGAAAGGGGAGATGGGAACGGAGACAAACGGGCGGGTCAGTCCGAAGTAGAGGGAGAAGTGCAGGGTAGCGAAGCAGTGCGGAACCAGGTGGGGCTGGGACAAAACGTCGAGGAACGCGGAGGGCTGGGCGGAGCAGGCCGGAAGGAATCAGATGCAACCCTGAAGCACGCCAGAAAGGGAATAGAAGGGAACGCGAGGCGCTGAACGCGAAGTGGGAGGGGCTCAGAGGGCAGTCACAGCGGGCGTTTCGGATGTTTTCATTGATTGATTAGTGATTCCGGGCGGGCCAACTGTTTATGTTATTAGCCCCTCAAGTGCAGTGCATGTTTTATCGTGGGAGGTGGATGTGATATTCCGCCGCTGGATGGTGAGATCTGATGCCAACCTACAAGTCAGTTAATAAGGTTATCCCCAACCAGCTATCTCCATATGGCGGGGCTCCGCCTCAACCCGTAACAAGCTCTATCCTAAAAAAAGGTAGCGAACAGCTTGGTCGGTTTGTTAAGGTACTGCCACGTTAAACTACCGATCAGAACGCTAGAATTCTCTTCCAGGCAGCGGCTAAACTCGATCAAGCTAGTGTGATAAATTCTTGGTCCTCCCGGTCAGAAGCACTGCAATGACATTTTTGATGCCCTAAGCCACCTAATCCGAGAGGGTGCGAAAATCGGGGCGGAGCAAAGCGCGACGGGACGGTCCAGTGCAGAACGGAACGGATCGAAACAGAACGGAAGAGACCGCAACGGGGCGGACCGGAACAAAACAAGATGAGCCAGAGCGGAAAGGGATGAAACGGTTGAGAACAAACCCAAATGAGAGAGGAGGAAAAACGGGACAATGATCCAAGATAGAAAGCTACAAAATGGGACAAACGGGGTAAAAGGGAAAAGAACGGAACACAAGGGGCCGGGCCGGGCCGCGGGGCGGTAGGCGTGACGGTGCGAATGAGGTGGGCGGAGCAGGCGGGGCCCGGGTTGGCTGTTGGGGGGCGTGTCCGTCCTTCGCGGGCCAAGCCGCGCCTTTGTGGCGCGGGGGCCGCGCCGATGCGCCATTGAGGCGGGCGGTTATCAGGACACGCCCCTCTTCCACCCTCGCACGGAAGCCGCGCCTCCGCCCACGCCGGAAGCCGCCAGAGGGAGCTGCGGCGCGGGAAATGATCGCCTCGCGGGTTTTCACGTTCCGGTGGAAGAAGGGTTGTGATAGGATTGTCGCTAAAACGTGTGACATTCACTTCATTGTGTTGCGCAGACTGTTGGAACTGAATGGACAGTACGATTGTACCACCATGCGTCGAAAGAGATTTGTATAAAGAAAAAGGAAGGTTCAATAATACGTTGTATTACTGATATTAACACAGTGAGTAATTAAAATGGTAACGGAAATAATCGCCCACAAAAAAATTATTAATTTTATTATTTATTACTCAGAGTTAACTTTCGGGAAACACTTTTCCCATCCTCAGTGGGTCTTGCCCAGGCAACGTGGGTCACTCATAAATGTTCATAACATGATCGGAAAATATGAAAACTGCAAAACATTCTGGATACAGGTAGGTGGAAGCCATCTTTTGGAATGGAAGAAGAGGCCCTATTTCCTTTTCCGTAGTGGATTACCACAAGATATCTGCTACCACCACGGAATTTAGTTACTAAGTACCGTTTATGTTGTCAGAAATAATGTAAGATATGTTTTTGTTTATTATACTTACACTTTTACGAACTAGTTTTCTGTATGTTACATATTAGTTTTTCCCTCGTGGTAGATGGTGACCCACACTTATTTAAGTTTTAAGTATGTTTCTGAGGAAGACCCCATACAGGTTTGAAACGTTGTACCACGGGATGTTTTTATTTTAAGAATAAGAAAATTGTCCTATTTACTCATATTCCATCTCAGTGAATGTCTTAAGGTGATTGGGACGTGGCGTTGCAGGCGCTGCAGGGCCTGTCGGAGGGCCTGGAGGACTCGGCGCTGGTGCTGCTGCAGACCTTCCTGGGGCTGGCGGCGGCGCTGGGCTGCGTGGGCTTCGGCCTGGTGGTGGCGCAGCCGTCGCTGCAGTGCCTCGTCTCGCGCCAGTACCTCTGCCAGGCCGCGCTGCTCGGCATCGGTGAGTCCATGTGCAAACAATTGATATTGGTATGAACCAAATCGGTGAACTCCGACACTGTGTGGCCGATATCCATGAAAGTTGGCACATTTAAGTGTTCTTTCATGAAGAAGGTTTCATACTGTTCATTTTGTTGAAACTCCACTAGATGGCGCTGCAACACAAAATGGCACTTTAGTTAAATGCAGAGGCGCACTTCCCATAGAAGCGTTGGAAGCTCTTCTTTTACATTTACGAAAGCTCTCCTAAATACCAAAGTATGAATGGATGTGAATGACAAGATTCATTCTGAAGTTTTTCAGCCTCGCTTTGTTCCTGTATACAGTGAATAAACAGCGACCAGATGTGTGAATTAGGTCGCTACTCATGTGGTACTGCTTCCACATACTGAAATATCAGAACACGCCACTGGTTAAATGCAATTCCATTCCATTTGGGCTTCATTGTTGCTGGGCGTTGCCATTTGACGCAGGGCGAAGCCGAGGAGGACAGGGCGGGCGGCGCGAGAGAGGCAGAGAGAGACAGGCAGACAGATACAGGAAGACAGAGAGAGGGAGGGAGAGAAAGGGAGAGGAGACCAGGACAACGACTGCCGAATTCTGATAGTATATATTATGGCTCTAAAGACAACGATTTTGATGACCCTCCTAATCGGATTCCAGTTTTAAACAAGCGAAGCCCAAAAAAGGAAAAATAGGAGTGGAGATCACTATATATTGAGTAGATAGCAGCTTTCCTTTATTAATAAAAGGCTACGAAATTTGCGTCGTTGGAAATGCGCAGATAGAATGGGAACGGCAAGATGGCGCCATGCGCAACTTGGCAAGTTCGCGGGGAGAGCAGTTGGTCTTGCTTAGAGAACATAGAGTTATGTGATTGTTAAAATGATTGTTTGTGACTACCAATTGCATGTATTTAATGTACTCTCTTATGTATCATACTTGTGATATCTAAGGAAAGATCAAAGGTGATTATTATCTGGAAAATGTATTTCATACATCTTTAGTCATTAATTTCATAAACAAAATCAGTCATCACATTAATTTAAGGTTAATAATAGGCTTTTCTGTTATAGGTTAATACAATCTCCCTGTAAAAATCTAGGTAAATGTAAAACATACCGTTCCATTCGTGACAAAAATGTTAATTCATTATTGAAATACACATATTACTATTTGCTACAACCAGATGTAAATTATTGGTGCTATTCGCGGACCTACAATCTCTTAAGATATATCCACTTTAATCAAAATCCCATTCGTAAAAAAAATGTTCTTCCATTTTACACCAGATAGGCCGAAGTATGAAATACTATCTACTTCGAAAAAAACGACAGTCGGCGAAATATTCAAAGGTTTAATTTGCAGCATTCCTCTTTTTCGGCCTCGACGGCATATTGGCGAGCGCGGCAACGGAGCGCAACACATTTCATTTGGAGTCTCGTCGATAAAAATCAACGATTCGCGAAAACGGTTTTGACGGCAGCGACGGCTCGCCTTTCAGCCGGGCCTCTCCAAAACCGGAATGATCCGCACTGATAATAAACATTGCCAAGAGGCCAGATAACATTATGTACCGAAATGGCGCACCAATTCTTCGTGACTTTTTATTGCGTTTGGATTATTCGTTGATTGCTCTGCAACGAAAATTTCCCTTTTGAAACAATCGATCCGAGTCACTGAAAAATTGGAAATTTTACTTTCTCTCTTTCCTCTGAGGATATCCTGTTACTGCAGCTGTGAGATTGTAAAATTCCGTCTCGTTGTGAGTGCGTGACCCCGACTTTTCACACCTCTGGCGAATATATTTTCATTCAGTTAAACTAAAAAGCAATGACATCGTACTATTTTCACGTTTTGAAGACCATTGTAATTCTAGGTTTCTGAAAGGAAAAGTACTTCTTTAAAGAAAAATCTATATTCGACTTAAGTTATAACTTGGATCCAGAAAGTACTTACTTTTGAACTCATTTTCGGCATTAAATGTCCTTATGCGCCTCAAATGCATAAAACGTCATAGATATCAACAATTAAACAACAGATCAGAGTTGCCGCAGTCTACAATTCTCATGCAGCAAGTAGCAATGTTCGACTCAACCATTTCATTGCGGTTGTAAATCTTGTCACCGTTGGGACTCGAACCTAGAATCTATCTGCTACGAAACCTAAATTATGGTCTGGCAACAAATACGTCACAGAAGGTATGTCTTCCATTATTAAGCATTTTCTTTTCTTTACGGTCTGGACGTGTGTCTGACGTCCTCTAGAACTCCTTCCGAAGACTCCTGATGAGGATTTCCCAGCTACCATCTATAGGCTTTTCGGTCTGAGGGTCCTTTCGGCCCTGCGCACTATTCAAAAGCTTTCTGGGCCAATCTACCACTAGAGAGCTCACATAATGCCCATAACCCCATGCCAAGGTAGCTCATGCCTGTTTAGAAATAGTTGCCCGAGGTAGTTTATGGACCTATCTAGTTGCTTGTTTCTTTTTAGAGATTAAAGTTTCTTCAGTATACCCACAATCTTCCCAAGCATATCAGTTACCGAAATAGAAATTAACATAGCACACCAGTTACCTGTCTTGTAGTCCAGAAATTATATAAATTGTTGGTCGAGGTAGCTCATGGACACTTCTCGGCACTTGTTACTTTTTAGAAACTATAAGTTTTTTAGTGGACTCGCAATCTTCCCGAGCACATCAGTTACCGAAATAGAAATTATCGTAGCACGCCAGTTAGCGATTATAGAAATAATTGCCCGTGGTAGTTCATAGTCCCATCTTGCTGCTTGTTTCTTTTTTAGAGATTAGAGATCCTGTAGTTCACCCACATTCTTCCAAAGCACACCAGTTACCGTCAAGAACAAGGCATGAGTTTAGATGTAATACACAAGAAACTGGGAGTACTCCCCATGCCACAAACACAACTGAGCATCCCATCCATTACTAATGAGTACAACTTCATGACCCATGCGGCTCACGAGAAAGTAAAAACTCCCCACCCCCACCGTAAATCAGCGATCCACTTGCTGCCCCTCCTCCACAGCGCCCCCTTCCTCATCTGGGGGGGGGGGGGCTTCTCATGCAGCGCACGGCCCCCTGTGTCACGTGCAGCGCCCACGCCCTGCTTTGTAGTCCCGGCGGCCGCCGCTTGGTTCGCTGCCCTCGCCTGTGCGCGGTGCCTCTTGCATGCGCCCCCCGGATTCGTAATTTTACGATTTGGCGTGAGAGTGCGCTGTCCGCGCTGGGGCGGGGTATTTTATTTATCTTCAACTCCCGAAAGTACCGATAGTTGAATTAATGCAAGCTACAGTTTTATTTTATTTTGGAATGTCTTTAGATGTTGCATTCACTGGTTTTTTCAAGCGTGAAATAGATTCTAAATTTTCGTTGCGTGTTATAAAAAAATTGTTACTTTACGTGCGTTTGTGTGCAATGGTTCAAGGGTCATTAAATTTAGAATCTACTTCTGTCGCATTCATTCACAATGCGCTAAGATAAGGCGACAGATTTTAATGATATATAACACACCGTCGACACAATATTCTGTAAATGCGCTACTGCTGTATAAGGGAGCATTAAACACATTTCAGACTAAAAATATGGAATTTTGTAGATTAGATGTAATTTTGTAGATTAGACAATGTAAAAATCAGCATACGCTCATGCAATATGGAACTGCTTGCGCTGCAGTAAATATGACTAGAGTGTGATACTAAGAAATAGTGCATCGGTCGAAACACCTCGAGTCCAGGTCACTTAATAACAAGAGTTAGCCTCAGTTCCTTAGATCATAATCTACAAAATAAGACTATTTTGAAACATCTTTTTTGGAAGTTTCGGTTTTATGGATAATACCACTCCGTTAGAGCAGGTCATCAGAATTATGGTGTCTCACAATATGTTTACAATCATATTGTCTATTTGATGCGTGTTTGTATTAACATTTTAGGGTCGTATTAATCAGAATTTTGCCATCTAGTGCTGTTCCCAGGCCTGAGCCCTGTTTTTATTTATATCAACGCCTGGGGTAAGGGAGACATGTGGCGAGCAGCACGTATTCCCATCACTGCATCTAGCTTACTTTGCTTACCTGAGCTTTTTCTTTCGTCATACAGCTATAAAAACTGAGACGATTTCTATTAGAAAGCTACAGCTTCAAAAGTCTGTCTCGATAATCTATATTCAGAGCGCTACCTCAAGCAAACCAGATACTAAGCTGTGAAATATACCTTCATGATTGCTCGAATCTAGAACCTCTCGTTTCTAAACACCAATTTCTGGATATACCCTACACGCTCTAGCCTAGCCGGCGCTCGCTCACTTTATTCGACACAAAAGTAATTTCTCGACAAACACCTACGTCCAAGTAGTATCGGCCGCATTGCTATTACGTTTTTGTATGGATCTGTACTTTACTATCGATTTTTACAAATCACGTTCAACTCTGCCGGAAACGAAATAAATTATTCCTTTCGGCCATCAATTTCGTGAGACACTTCCCGCTATTTAATGGCATTCCGATGTAAAAACATTTCCCTGGTCCCCTTTTACGAACTGGCTATTTTTTAGAGTACACGAGAGATTATTTCACATAAATGAAAGTAAAGAAGTAAATTACATTTAAAGTTAAATATCCGTCGTGTTATTTCAGACACTTTTATTACATACATGATATTGGAACTGTATCATGCAAGGGAGAATGAAAAATATCTTCAAAATTTTCCATGCAATTAATTTATTTCATTATTATTATTATTATTATTATTATTATTATTATTATTATTATTATTATTATTATTATTACGATTTCTTCTTTCCAAGGTTACGTTCACGACAAAATCGCAATTATTGATTCAAATTAGTTAATTTCACGACAATGTTAATATGAATGAGTAACAATGAGTAATTCGTTGATTCATTTATTAAAAACTAGATATCTAATTTTTGAATTTTGATATTGCGTGAAAAACTGTCTTCCATGAAAAATGTATGAAGAATTATTCACTACATTTACGTAGTACTTTCACGTCTAGTCATATTCAGTATTATACCAGGTGAGTTAGCTCAAAGTCAGTATTGCCGCCATCCTGCACTGACTGGCCATGTAATCCTGAGGTTCGTGCAATGACGGAGGCGTATTTTCTACAGCTAGATATCTCGATCGAATTCAGCCGCTGTCTGGAGAAGAATTCTAGCGGCCTGTTGTGATCAGTAATTTTCCGCGCTTTCTCCGATCAACTCCGGGGGGAGGCCGAAGCAGTACTCTACCAAATGGGCCAAGGACCGCGTGATATTTCCTTCCCATTCCTTGGCCTCTCCTATCCCTTACTTACTCTCCCACGCACTACACTACCACACTTGTTGAACAATGAGTCTGGAGCTCAAAGCTTGTCCCGCCTAGGGTTGGGAACCGCTGTGGCAGATAGAAATCCAGGCATGCCGATGTCGGCGGCCAAATCTCCCCAACCTGTGGGGATCTAATCATCGCCACCTTCCAGGATAAAACATTCACTATACTAACGGGATTAATTATCATAATAGTGCATGAAAGCTGAAACATCAATTAAAAATGCATATTTGTTCTGTTTCTACTACTAAGATCTTTGTTTTGTGACGTCCAATACATTAATTGCGGTTGTGAATGAATTGAAAATGTTTGAGATTCAGTCATCGTTAATTTCAGTAGAGTATTCTTCGATATACATTGTTTGCGGAGAACTGTCGTTATTCTCATCGGAAAGCACATGATTTATTGATATGTACATTGATGCATTATGGAAATGGTATCATTCAATCAGTTTCCATTGACGGAGGGATATTAATCAACTAATGCACAGCCCCGTTATGCGGATTGTTGATTCCGTAACCTGCTATTGTACGCACTGTTGCCAGATCGTATTCCTAAGCTCCGGGTTTATCTAGGGTTGCATTTGCCAAATCCAAAGACTTTCTACAGGATCATAGTTGTTTGAAGAGACCATTCAGAACCATGCCTGAATCAAGCAATGTTATGGACGTGATAATGTTAATGTTTCCCTACAAGAATTAATTATAATATCGATGCTTTATCGTTTTTATACTTGATTTATTTATTATAATTGATAAATTTACGAATTTTATATTTTACTTAAAGACGAATTCAGTTTATTTCTGACTTTACATTCGCGAACAGGATGTCCAATTATAAGACAACAATATTTCAAATTTTAATCAATCAACAACCTATCAGGAAGAACATTACCATCAGCGTATTTCACGCTATTTGTTCTTGATATCGCATTAGTCAATAATACTATTATGTTAATTTGCACATTGTTTTATTCTGAGAAAATAAATAAACAACGAAAGTAAAAAAGCCATTGAAACGTCTAAATACTTCACGAAAGGTAGGACAATAATCTTCTTAATTATCTTAATGGTAAAAAACAGATAATCGTTTTAAAAAGATTCCAGCAGTTCTGCTCTTAAATAAATTGTGAACTTTCATCGCAATAAATGAATGTTTTTTAACATTTTGAATGATTAGTGTAATGATAATATTTTAATAATTTATTTTATTTTGTATTGCCGAAAAGGCTACTATACAGGTATTCCAACCTACACATACAACAATAAGCTGGTTACAACAGCAGAATTTAAATCTACAAATGGTAAAAAAAACTAATTTACTTTTTACTTTTCCGTATACGTACGGAGTAATAGAAGCTATATAGGGAAAGTTGTGTAATGCTACAGAATTTCGATTTCAAGATTTCAACGCAAATACATTTTTGGGTCCCCTGATACCAAAAACGTTGTTCTTTTCAACCCGTCCATCTGTCAGTCCGTCTGTGAACATTACCTGCGCCTAAACCATGAGTAGAAATTTTTATCCAAATTAAAGAAAACCCCATCGATATGGCTCAAGCCGAAGTTTTGAGATTTTGAAAACCATTCTTTAAAATTTGGGAGTACTTTACATGAAGCCTTCCGGACATTTTCAAAATTTTCTCTATAATGGCTCCAATTATTTCTTTAAATTTCTTGTACTAATAGAGTAACATATACCTACAAACGTGGCATAGGTCCAGACCAATTAAAATAGAAGACAAATACGGGAAAGTTTGTGCCATTCTGAATCACCTCTAGTAATGCCCCTAATACTGCTACTTGTTATTTTAATATATGTTGTTAAATATGTTTTATAAATATACGAAACATTCTCAATGTATTTTATTATAACTTCCACGTCTTATATGAAAGTATTCCAGGAGGGTAGTGGTACTATTTATTTATTTCATAATGATTTTTTTTGTATCTGTGTAAATATTTTAAAAAAATAATTATATTTTTAGAACTATGATCCATCCTTTGTTCACAGTAAATAGTGATTGTATTGTTTCAGAATTTGTAAGCCTCTCCATTTCAATAGTATTTGGGAATCAATTCTGAACGATATGACACAATGTTTTTGGGGTTTTCGATTTTACGTTTAGTGAATATGTAGAACTTTTATTTCTTTTGTACTGTTCTTTCTTTGGTTCGATGTGATCACAAGGGTCGGCTAGTTACCTATAACGATAATCACATACGCGCACGTTGTCAACCGATGCAAACAGCAGGTCTGCCTTCGCTCCACGGGTGCACTGCAGGTTGCATACCCTCACTTTCACCAGGGGCGTGCGGGCCGGTGGGGGTTGCTCCATAAACAATGCGGCGGCGACTCGCCTGTCTTGGTAGACAAGTGGGGTGCGAAGAACGTAACAAGAACACGGACAGCACAAACTTTTTACGATGCACTTCCAGCGAATAGTGAATATTGTAGTGGTTTCAGAGCTCTCGCACTCCACAGTGCAGCCTTATACATCGACATAAAGGTGTTATTTCGCATGCCGTGCATAAACACGCTGAAATGTGAAGATGGATGTTTCTATTGCATTTTGGGAGCGTTCGTAGACGTGTGAGTATACTTCAAACGCCCTCTGGGTCATACTTGAAAGCTACTCTTCACAATCCTTTTTTATTAATTAATGTGTCGTCTCATTCTAGCATAAGACTTGACATTACAAAAATGAATACAATATATAGAGAGCTTTTATCAGAATACAAAAAGGTCGTTGAAAAGAGGTACTAGTGATGATTAGAGGAGTGTTTGAAAGGAATGTCTTTTTTCAGTTTAGAATATTGCCGTTTAGTATAGACAATAATTTTATGTTAGGATAAAAGGACATTACCCAATGTTATACGTTGCTTTTTGAATTTTCAGTCAATTTTGAATATTAAGTCATTTTTTTTCCTTTTTCTCATTTTTCGCTGATTTCATTAATTTTAGTATCATGTTAATAATACTTGCCCGAATTAATATTAATGAGATGCAACAAATGATATCGACAAAATTCCTGTGTAGCGTATTCGATTTCTTCGTTCCGAAATTGCAATATTAATCGTTATATGTAATCTAAAGTTCCTGTGACGCCTATTAGTACCATTGATGGTTCGCCCGATTTTGGGGCAACTAAAGACAGAGATAAAGAACAGTCCAAACCAAACGGTTTCAAGCTAAGTTCACTTTAATGAAAGAAAGAAGCCACAATTACATCAGTAACGTATCCAACAGCTTTAGATGTTCATTCTAGCTGGTATAGAGCACATTTTTACGTTATTTTTCGTTGCTTTTAGAGCATTTTTAAAACGTTTTAAGAGTATATTATTGATAATATTTGGCGATGTTTTAGGTCATCAATATCTCCCTAGTGGTGATAGTAAAAGTGTTAAGGGAATGATTAAGGAAATAATCAGCAGAAAGAATGATTGCGCTTGGTTCGTGACCCGTTGTTTAGGGAACTTCTCGGACAAATGGCTAGACTTTATCGCAGACCACCACGTCAATGACTGCTCAAGAACTCCTAGCTAGTCGCTGGCGCAGTTCTAATCACCTAACGAAATGTTTCCGAAGATTCTCCTCCGTATGGAGCCGTACCTAGGATCGCCGGTCTACAAAGCCTCCGTTGTGTATTTCCATATGTACAGGCTACTGCACCTAATCGGAAAGTAATAGGTACAGCATTACGCGCCTTACAAAACAATAAACGAAAAGGTCACCGGATGAGATGGCTTGTCCGCTGCGGCGTCTCTGGTCGGAAGGTTTTTAGATTCGAGTCCGGGCGTAATGGCACACAGCATCACCAAGCCCAGACTCGAACATTAACACCTTCCGACCAGAGGCGCTGTATACGTAGGTACAATTCATCCGCCGTTCTCTGGATAAGATTCTCATCTGTACTTTCTAGTCCTTCCTCAATTAATATCAAAAGAATGCGTAAGCAATATGAGCCTAACAAATGGACCATGAACCACGCACGATCTTTCCCTTCTCCGCCATTGTCACCTTCTCGCCCCTCACCCCAAACGTACACTACATGCACTAAAATACCACACACATCAGAAGATCAGTCGGTAGCTTAGAGCTTGGGCTGCTTTACTGGAGGAGACACCTGTAGGGGAAATCTCCAACAAGTCGCGTGTGGATTGGCGTCAAATATTTCGTCCATTGTGAGAGGAACACTGTTACTACCTCCTTACATCCTTCACTACACTTACTGGACTAATGAGGAAATATAATTGGTTGATTATAAGTTATTCCAGACGCGTTAACTGCTTAGGTCATTATTCCCGTAAGTGTGGTGTATGTTTTACTAGAAGAGGTGGCGGAGGTCTTACTCCGGTGTATGTTAAGATCCGGTGCCGTCCCACCGTGGTCTAGCTGGGTTTTCTCCAACTAGGTATCTCCCACAAGCGGGGCACCACACCAGCCGAGACAAGCTCTAAACTCCCGTCCAGAATTCCGGCGTGTGTGGTACTGTAGTGAATGTTAGTGTGTGTGTAAGGGGTGAGGTCAGGACAAGGAAGAGGAAGGAGAGATCGCGGGCGGTGCGTAGCGTATTGGTTAGGATACTGCTCTGTCATTCGCCGGATGTTGATCGGAGAAACCACACAAAACTACCGATCAGAGATGCCGGCCTCTAGAATTTTCCTCAAAACAGCGGCTGAATACGACCTAGTCTAAAATCCTGCCACCGTTGGAACTCGAACCTAGAACCTCCCGGTCAGAGGGAGTGGAAAGTAGTTGACGTGCATCCAAAACACGAAATACTCATTTACTTACTTGACTGAGGAAAACAGGTGTTTGGCTGGATTTTCATCCACATTTCCAACCGACGCCTCCTTGAGAGCATATCCTAGCCACGGGCCTAAGGGACATTTGGAGTATCGAGCCTCGTGGGCGACCCTCGTAATGTCTGGATGTGATTTTCATTTCATACTCCTGGAGCTGGTCTCCGTTAATAATGTCAGAAAGGGACATTTCACGAGGAGGGGAAATTATTAGATGGGTTTCATTTGACCTGCAAACTTTCCAGTAATCTCCTAAATGTCACAAGCGTATCACTGTAGGCTGAGGATTTTCATGTCATGCTTTGTACTGATCACGGAGTCTTCAAACACCCCTCCCCCTCCAAGAGAATACATTCGACATCGGAATCTGTTCCTCCAATGTTGTTTTTTCCACTACCCCCGGAGTATTTCCCACCCTTCGAAAATCCACTCGCCCTACCAGGACTGAACCGAACTAGGATTTTCGAAGTCATCGCACCATCGGCGATGGCATTGGACGCGGCGCGTTAGCCCGGCATTGAGTTGGGCCGCCGCCGAAGCCAGCCCAGCGAGATCTCGGACGGAGGTCGCGGGCGGAATAAGGAACGGGCGGGGCCGCCGTCCACCGCCCTCATCACGCGGGTGACGCCACCGCGCGCTCGCCCCGTAATCCCCAGCGCGGATGACTTCGGAGACCGGGCGGCGCCGGGCGGCGACGCGAGCTTTCGCTGCGGAATGGTATTTTCTTTGCTGGAAATGGAACTCTGCTCGCCTGACCAGCACCCCAAGTCCGCAGGACGTGAGTGCAGTGGCGAGGTGGGTTCGGTGGGACGCGATTTCAAGTCCCAGGAAGATATAATTGTGCCTTCGGTCGGAGGCACGTTTGGTATTTTCAAATGTATCACCTAATAAAAGAACCGTTCCTTCTCGGGCCTTCCCTCGTCCTGTGTGGGAGCGGTGGGAGATTTGGTGTGCCTGCGGACATGTGATGTAATATGTTGTCTACGTATCACGACGTGCGCTCCACCTGAACCTCACCTTTCCTCCCCTGTTTCAAGAATCGCTATAAACCCGTGAGTGATAAGCGGTTGTGAGTGTGTGTTTGTGGGCGTGATTGTATCTGTGTGTATGTACGTGTGTGTGCATGTGACTGCGCGCGAGTGTGCGTACGTGCTTGTACGTATGTCTCTGTGCGTGCGTATGTGTGAGCGCGCGCAGAACCGATATCAGCGGTGTTAAGTTTGGGAATATTATGCATTTGCATCTTGGTGTCAAATAATATTGATAGAACTCAGTCGGGGGACTTTCGTGTAAGACTTTCGTGTCGGGGGTCTTTCGTGTCAAGCTCAACGACGAAGTTTTATGGAGCGCCACACCTTTATATGTTTCGTTATCCTGTTTGTTGGCCGACTTGCGTTCGTGCTGTGTCTCTGTGAGGGACCAAGAATGAGGGAAAAATTATCGCTCGCGATCTATGTCTACTGAGTAGCAAATTTTTAAATTTTTCTCACCCAACATCGTCAAACTTCGTCGTCACATCGTCTTGAAACTGAAAACTCACTTGTGCTTTTAATGAAATCAGTTTTGTAAAGTCGACTCTTTAGAATGACAACGTTCCAATTGTCGAAACCCAATACAATAAGGTTAGTGTCACAAGATTTTATATAATTTTTGCATATAGAACATATTCATGCTTCAACCTGTGAACAAATAGCTACGGTAAAATCACTACTGCAGATGAAGACATTATTGAATAACGTGTAAAGGAAACTTTGACATCAATTTCCCCAAAACGACTGAAATCTTAGTTGGAACCTTGTCATTTCAAAGGGACACAGTTATAAAAATTCATATCAATTTATTAACTGATTTTATGTAACTTCAGTAACTTTTGGCAGTCTACTTGTCGGTCGTCTCTCAACTCACCGATCTGCCTACCCTCTGCCCGCGGGAAAATCTGCAATTTTCGCTCACTTTTTGCTTTTGCGCCCGCCACTGATGTCGAAGGAGCACGTCGCTGGCAGCAAAATCCTTCTGTTCTTCCCACACGGCCGTTCCAGGAAGAGTAATACCAGGCATACTCGAAACAAAATAGTACGAAAGTTTGAGACGTATTTTTCAGCAGAACCAGTGATGCGAGGTAATAACAGATACATTTCAACGACTCTGCTGTTGTTGCTTAGAAACTCTGCCGGCAGAAACAGGAAGCTGAAAGAAACGTCGTCGTGGAAGGATTTTATTCCGCTGTTCAAGGACTGCTTCAAACGGGACAAAGTTATTTTTGTGCTTTTCACACGTGACGGCGCATGGTTTGAAACGTTATACAATATCCTCGAGCACAATGTTATGTGAGTTATGCGACAATTTTTTAGGTATCAAGACAATTTCTTTTCTTTTATTGTGCAAACATATCAAAACACAGTTTTTTGAAACATTTCAAAAACGCAAAGTTTTTCATGCTTCGATGACAAAATGACATTAACGAAAATATCTCCCTCCAAGTGCTATTTCCATTTACGACATCTGTTTCCCTTACAGTCATCTGAGGCCACAA